GCCCGTTTCTCAGAGAAGGGACAGAGCTGTGTGGAATAAAGGTAAATTATGGGAAAAATAATGCGTTTTTTTTTTTTAAAACGAACCATTAACACATGTTAGACTGCACCCCATAAACACAATCAAGCCTAGAAAAAACCCAGTGAACCACCCCTTTAAACACTCAAAGTACACAGTGCCAGGTACAAAGCCAGAGCTACATTTTTAGTAAGTGCCTGTTATTGTTCTAGGGTTGGGTTAAGTGCTTGTGGAAGGCGGTTTGTCTTCTGCTGCTTCTTGAAAGTTCTGATGGTCTCATCAGATCAGGTGAAGTTTAGTTCATTCCACCAGAGAGGAACAGAGAGGGTGAAGGTTCTGGAAAGTGACTTTGTGGCTAGTTGTAAAGGAACATCTAGGAACAAGTGTCTTCCATATTGCATGTAATAATACATACTACTTATAGGAATAAATTGTAACGCTCGGCCTTATAGGAAGATGTTACATTGATTAAAAGGGGTCAGATTATATTGTGTGAGGTAAAATAAGTGTTTTTAAAAAGATGAGACAAATGACAAAAGTAGAATGCATAAATAGTGTATTTACATAATGCACAATTAACTTAAAACAACACAATAAAACAAGAATAACATAGGCTGTTAAAAGCAGATTGTCCAGTTGAATGGTACCCTAAAACAGTCCTTAAGAATCTTAGTGTCTTGAAGTTCCAAGGTAAAAGTGTCCACCGGTGTATATTAGTGATGGGACGATTAATACCGAGGCTCCGATGCTCCGACGCAGTTTTCAAAGCACTATTGTATCACACACTGTGCTGATGCTTGTATCAAAATGACAATACCACGTGATTGATGACGTTTGAAGCTTCGAACGTCATGCGGTATCGGAAGGTCGGGACAGCTGGTTTGAAAAAAATCGGCGCTTCGCATGACTCTTGTGTTTGACTTTACATTGACTTGGTTGTGTGTGTGTGTACACTTATTTGGGATTCAGTAGAATAGTTTAGAATAACCTCAACACCAGACAGAAACTGAATGCACGTCACACCTCTATTGCATTTGATCATGTTCTAGCTGGGGTCTCAGAGACCCCGAACAGCTCACCCAAAATATTTTTGCTACTACTCACGTCAATTATTAATTATAATCACACACTTGTATATTTTATATTATTGATCAATATGTGAATCCATTGACCGGACTACGCATGACATGAGTTGGCACAGATTAAAAACTTTTTCAAACCATCCTCTGCTCCACGATGTTTCGTTAGATAAGCTGGAGAAACTGAGTCTGACCACCAGATGTCACTAATGCGCACTGTGTTAAAAAGCTTCGAGTAATTAACCATTTTTCGGCACAATTTGATGAAAGCCTCAAACGGTTCAGAAAGCCTTGGTTTCCCATCACTAGTGTATATACAATCCAAAGAAAGTGATAATCCAAGACGAGTGAGATACTGGAATGATAAATCCGTAAAACAACTTCACAATCCAGCGTGTTCAGTGTTTGGTCAATGACCTTGTTTGTTTGTCACGCTGCTTGCTTTATACTGGTCTACCTCCTGATTCCTGTCATGTGACTGATCACATAACAGGCAGATCCATGAACATTTAAAGACATCCCGATTCCACACATTAAATAATTAGGAGGATTAAAATGGCTAAGACAACATGTAAAACCATTAAAACTCAAATATATAGATATAAAACCATCTTAATATATATTGAGCGGTAAAAACGTGTCTTTGTGTGACAGTGTCACAAAATTATTGCATTTTATATATCATAATGTTACATTTGTTACTGAAAAATGAAGTGGAATCAGCCTTTTATAATATCAAATAAAAGGGAGGAAATAGCCCACTTCATGTCAAACCTTAAATTGGAACAAAGGCATTCTGTCTATTTATACCAGATAGTGGTCAGTAGAAAATAGACATTGCTACTAAATAATAGCAGATAACTTCAAATAAATAAATAAATACACTAAGCTTCATTGAAATATTAACTTTAGCCAAAGTCTATTAAGCCTACTTTTGTAACCTACAGGCAATGTTCTCTGAATTAAAACATTGAAAAGTCATGGACATGCCTTAGTCATACAGTATGTGAACAGTGCTTTCTGATAATATCCCATCTTTTATTATTAATAACATGGTGAACTGTTGCTAAAATGTGTTTTACTCCCGATGGACCGACACTCCTCACTCCAACTCTGCTCCCCACTCTAAAATAGCATTTAATTTAACATGAAGCATTGAAGGCCAAAGAAGTTCAAAATAACATTCATGAAAATAGCAGAGTTCAACAAACGTTAATCATCAGTCTCAGTGTGTGAAAACAGAAATGCAACTGTTGTTTTTATCCTACAAGATAACTGCAAATCAATCCATATTCATATCACTATTAAACTAATTCTGAAACGCCTTACCATGTGCTTTTCAGTTCAGAAACTTGTATTCTGTCTTTTCAGAAACGGGTTTATAATTTGTGAGATTTTGACTGACAGTTGCATAAGGCCAGAGAGGAAGAGAGGAGGTCACATGACTCATGGAAACAGCTGTGGCCACATGTCACAACACTGTTGACAGGCTGGGCTGTGATTACAGCACCAAAGCATCTTTACATTCTCTTCATCATTTAATGTTCTAATTACAGCTCCATCAAAGTCATCGCCTCTTCATGCCTGCTTTAGTTTGTATCAGTGAGATCTAATCTTAACGAAGTAAATTTTGTCATTGTTTACTCCCCTCATATCGTTCAGTGGACACAAAGGAAGATAAACGTTCACATGTTCATACAATGAAAGTGTAAAGGGTAGGATGGAAAGACACCATGAAGTTTAATGAAAGTGTTTTAAGAGTAGTCTACAGTTTCATTGCTTTGAGTGAGGAACAGGCCAAACTGTAAATATGCATTAATATGACTGCATCACAAAATCCTGTTATAATGACAACATTATTCTTTCATCAACTTATTCCAAGCTTATCACTTTATCTTACTGTACGTTTTGTTAAGATTTTCAGTAGGTTATGACTGAAAATAGTCAACCCTAATATTATGATTTTGTAAAGGAAATAGATTATGTTTGAAAACTGGATGTCTGTAGAAATAACATGAAATTACAAACACACTGCGGTGTCATGACCTTGAACACAAGGCTAGTAATGACACGAACTGTAAAGTAATCAACTCTGTCAGGCATATATCTATATCACTACAAACTTCGAATAAAATTTTGCCTGAGATGCCAATGCAATTGAATAACACTTCAGGACATCATGTGTCTGATAGCATGTTTGAAAGGTTGCAAAATCTACAAATCGCCATTTCAGATAGAAAGTTTTGTGGAGTGACCGAACACTGATCTACAGCTGCAGGTCCTCGTATTGTTCAGAGTTTAGTCATATCTAGTGATCCTGATCAATGTGCCACGGATCGCTGAGTGATGATGTCAGCTGAGGGGGGTGTGGGTGGTCTATTCACGGCTCTCTGTGTGTGTGTGTGAGGAGGGGCAGCCGTGCACTTGTGCAGTCTTTCTTTGGCAGTCTTATTCCTGCCTGGAGCCCAGCTCAGACTGGCAGCAGCAAGCAGACACTGATCATTTCATAGAAACTTCTAGTGTCTTGTGTTCATGATCAGCAGTTGCTCCAGGACTGTGGTGTTTATCAGAGCCGCTGAACTTTGTCATGTCTCTGTGGCGCACACAGCGGAGGTGCACGGCTGGACTCTGCTGCCTCCTGCTCGCTCTCTGCTCCTGGAGCTCAGCGTTTAACCTGGACACAACAACAATCCTCATCAAGGAGGGTGAGGAGGGAAGCTTCTTCGGCTTCTCTTTGGCTTTACACCAGCAGCTCACACCTGAACCTCACAGCTGGTGAGTCTATCAACTGGATTATTGCTTGGGCTCATGTCGAGGGCAAAAGAGCTCATTGCCGAGAATGACTGTGACCTGAAACATGATCTCAGCAGCACTGTTCATTGGTGTCAAAACTTAGATAATACTAGGAATCATATTTTTCTCTTGGAGATTTAGGGTGTAGTGATAAGTCAGTTTGTTAATGTGTGTTTGTGTGAGAAACAGCATTAGATATCTGTCATACTGAATCTCTTTGTGATCAGAGACAGGTCTGTTCATGCTCAGAATGATGTTCAGTCAGTGACACAGCAGATATTGTCGTGCACAGAGACTGTTAAAGCTGGACGCTTGCGTTCTGTCAGACATACAATGAGTGTGTGAGATGAGTTACAGTCAGGAGCATTACGCTGTGCTGAGCTCACTGCTTATTATCAGCTATTATTAGTGGCCAGCATCACTGTTATTATTGCTCATATAAGGGTGATAATGTAATGAATCCTCTAGCACTAAGCATTATTTATTTGAGGATTTGATTCCACAAATCATGTGGTCTTGCGGAGGGGTTTGTTGCTTTACTAAGTGATCAGTTGCACCGTTTTACCTGCTAGACCAGAAAAGAGGTGAAAAAGACAGCAAGACTAGAATCTACTAGAGACGTGTACATTGTAATCATGTTTTAACTAATTGTGTGTTATAATGTGTTCACTTCCTTTAAAGAACCTTGGTAAAATTAATAAATATTAATGTATAAAACAAGTCTTTTGTGCGTTGCATGATATCAGCAGTTACATCATCTTTTACACCTTAGAACCAACGCAACTTAATTCATGATCATCCTCCTACACCAGCTACACCATAAACTAAAGTGCTAGTGTGACCCGCCAATGAACATACATGAATGTGCATTGATTTGAATGGAAATGGAAAGTAGCAAAGCATTTTTCCACAGCTTGAATGAGCCTATAGTGCCATAATACAGTAGGTCAGGATGGTTGACTAGCGAACCAATGATCAACTAGTCACTTAATGAGGGCGACGAGTGGTGCTGACAGTAACCATTATACAGTGTGTCTCTAAATTCAGTACTATAGCCATAAATGCAGCACTTTTGTAAGAAATCCATCTCTGATTTCAGTGTACACATGTACACTGTTGTGCCTTAAGATGTCAAGTTAGAATTGTTTTGAAAATGTGTTTTCAGACACCTGTGATCTGATCTGTCCAGCAGGAGCACATCCAGTGTCGCGTCTGATCACGTATGATGTAAGGTGACCAGACGTGACACTTCCCGGGGACACGCAAACAACCAACACCTGGTTATTTTGGGCAATTTAGAAATACTATACAGAACGTGTCCCCGGGAAGTGGCACATCTGGTGACCTTACTGTATAATCAGACTGGTTTAGGGACCACCATACTAAGGTGACCAGAAGTGCCACTTCCCAGGGACACATTATATTTACATTTATTCATTTAGCAAATTTTTTTATCCAAAGCGACTTACAATTGAGGAATACAATAAGCAAAATACATCATAAAGAGGCAAATAAACTTGAGAAGTGCTTGCAATACAAAGTTTTTAGGCATTGTTCAGATTAGTACAAGCTAGACAAGGAGAGATTAAGGAAAGAGAAAGCAGAGATTTTTTATTTATTTATTTTTTTTAGGATGTCAAAATGTCAAATGGTGACGAAAGAGATGAGTTTTCAGGTGGCGCTTGAAAATTGTTAGGGATTCAGCATTCCGGATAGGGGTGGGAAGTTCATTCCACCAGCCAGGAACAGTGAACGAAAAAGTTCTGGAAAGTGATTTTGTGCCTCTCTGTGATGGTACCACGAGGTGTCGTTCACTCGTAGATCTCAGACTTCTGGAGGGAATGTAGATTCATAATAGTGAGTGGAAGTAGGCGGGTGCTGAGCCTGTGGCTGTTCTATATGCAAGCATCAATGTCTTGAACTTCATGCGAGCTGCAACCGGGAGCCAGTGCAGGGAGATAAAGAGAGGTGTGACATGGGCCCTTTTGGGTTTGTTGAAGACCAGTCGTGCCGCTGCATTCTGAATCATTTGTAAAGGCTTGATTGTGCATGACTGAAGTCCAGCCAGAAGAGCATTGCAGTAGTCCAGCCTAGAAGTGACAAGGGCCTGGACAAAAAGTTGTGCAGAATGCTCCGTTAGGAAGGGCCTGATCTTTCTGATGTTGTGCAATACAAACCTACAAGATCGAGCAGTTTTTGCAATGTGGTCTTTGAAAGTCAGCTGGTCATCGAAGATTACACCAAGATTTCTGACTGAACTTGATGGGGTAATTGTTGATGAACCTAACTGGATGGTGAGATCATGCTGTAGAGTTGGAGTGGCAGGAAAGACAAGAATCTCAGTCTTTGCCAGGTTGAGCTGTAGGTGATGTTCTTTCATCCATGCCAAGATGTCCGCCAGGCAGTCTGAAATCCGTGCAGCTACCATCCGATCATCTGGTTGAAATGAGATATAGAGCTATGTGTCATCAGCATAGCAGTGGTAGGAGAAGCCATGTGCCTGTATGATGGGACTCAGTGATGTAGTGTATATGGAGAAGAGGAGGGGTCCAAGAACTGATGCCTGAGGAACTCCAGTGAGCAGTTGATGTGCTTTGGAAACCTCCCCTCCCCTGGTCACCTTAAAAGACCTACCAGTGAGATAGGATTCAAACAAAGCAAAGTGGAATCCCTGTGATGCCCAGTGATGAGAGGGTGGACAGGAGGATCTGATGATTCACAGTGTCAAAAATGGCAGATAGATCCAGCAGAATGAGAACTCGTGATTTGGAAATGTTCTGCCCAGGATTTCTAAATTGCCTAAAATAACCAGGTGTTAGATGTTTGTGCTGCGAAAGTACCACGAGAGCTATAGAGAGCAGAGCAGATGGCTCTGCATGCTTTCAAATCACTCTCGCTGTACTTTGATGTCATACGATCGGTTGGCACAGCACAAACAACGAACACCTCCTTATTTTAGGCAATTTAGAAATCCTGGGTCAAACGTGTCCCTGGGAAGTGGCACGCCTGGTCACCTTAGTATGGTGGTCCCTAAACCAGTCTGATTATACAGTAAGGTGACCAGACGTGCCACTTCCTGGGGACACGTTCTGTATAGTATTTCTAAATTGCCCAAAATAACCAGGTGTTGGTTGTTTGCGTGTCCCCGGGAAGTGTCACGTCTGGTCCCCTTATTATACAGGGCTTCGTCATACACATGAGCCACTGACTCATCTCTTCTGTAAATGTGATATCTCTGTCTATGATGTGTTTTACTTTTTTCCCCTCTCTCTTATGTAAAAGTATCGCTCTCTTCTCTATTCATAGTGTCCATAAGACCTGTATGTTTACTAGCACCCTACACTCATACTGCAGTCTGTCTGTCTCCAGCGTCTAAAAGGAGCTTGTGTGTGTTTATAAGCTATAAGGTTACAAGACACTTTTTTAGCAAGAAGCTGTTAAAAGCTGTCACATTAAAAGTTTAATGCCTGACACTTTAAGGGGGTTGGGTTTAGGCCCGAAGCAAACAGAAAGGGATTCATTCAAAATCTGACACAGGTTTCAGTCAGTGGCTAATCTTTCTGTTCCCATGGCTAACTGGCTCCCAAAAGTTACAAGTAATGCATTACCCTTTAAATGTCCGGTCCTGTTTTCATTGTTTTATGAACTCTTGGCTTATAGGATTTATGAAGATTTTTTATTATTTTTTTGTCTTTGGTTTTATTTGTATTGTTCAGGTTGTTTAATTTCAATATATTGTTTATTGATCCTTGAGGGGAAGCTTCAGAAGTGCAGCCAGATATAAATCCAATCTCCATGACACACTGACTTCTGGTGCTTTTCTCCCTCTTTATAAACGTTTTGGATTACAAAATTGAATGGTTTTAGAGTTTCATGTGATTTGATCCAGGGAATTCCCAAATATATGGCTGTTGAACATTGACTACTAACCGCATTAAGTAAGTGTACATGTCGCAAAAAAAAAAAAAAATGTTCGCTGTTTATGTCTCTTTGAGATCATCATTTCTAACGCCTCTGGCATGCCACTGATACTTCTCTGACACACACACACACACACACACAAAAAAAAAAAAAATGTTCGCTGTTTATGTCTCTTTGAGATCATCATTTCTAACGCCTCTGGCATGCCACTGATACTTCTCACACACACACACACACACACACACACACACTGGTTTCCATGTTTTATGGGTTCATTCCATAGGCGTAATGGTTTTTCTACTATCCAAACTGTATTTTCTATTCCCTTACACTAACCCTACACATAAAACCTGCCCCTCACACAAAACTACAGCCATTTTTAGATATTCAGAAAACTTAATTCTGTATGACTTATAAGCTGTTTTCCTCATGTCCCTATAAGGACAATGATTTTGGATATTGCCATTTTTGAGGTGCCATTTTTGTGTCCCCATATCATACCTGAACTACACACACACACTAACACACACAGTGACATCAGATCCTCCTTGTCTCAGTGTACAGACAGTAAATGCACTTTTGGACACAAATGATTGGCCTTGTATAAGGAAGTCACGTGGTGTCGTCTGGCCTGCTGTTACTGTGTTTGAACTCTATTTATACTCAAATGAGAACTGCTGCCTGTTATAGACTAAAAGAGAATTGACCCGACCTCACAGCCTTCTCCAACATAGGATAGACACATTTACTGCATATTCTGATGGCTATGTATGTATTTAGATTTTAGGGAAATTTGTTTTTAAGAAATACTTTCACTGTCTTGAATACCTTCTCTATTTTTAAAAATAAACAAACAAATAAATAAGTAAATTCATGGGACAGGTTCTCATACAATGGCTCAAGCTGGAAATCACATATCACATCAATTCCATACACACTCACACACACACATATATACAGTGGTGGCCAAAATTATTAGAACACTAGTATTTTCACCAGCTAAAAATGGTTTTAAGTCAGTTATTTCTATCTTTTGCTGTAGTGTGTCACTAGGAAATATC